CCTTTGTTGTTGATCGCCTATTGCCAACATGCGGCATCCTTGAGACGCCGTGCGACTTGGGCTGCAGCTGCAGCAGCCTCTGCTGTTGCTATTCTTCTCGCCTCAGCCTCTTCATCCGCTTTTAACTCCACCAAGTAGGCCGCTCGCCGTGGGGCAAGGATGACCTCCACTTCCCGCACGAGATTGGCCGGAAAAGGTGGCCGCCCTGCAAGATCCGCGCGCAATAATCTTTTCCGCAGCAAAAACCGTGCACTTGCGGATGTGTCTTCTTCACCTGGAATCAACTCTACAGATGACGCCGGACGCATCGGCTCCAATGTGTCTGGGTGGTATGGTCCGTCAAACCAAACAACGGCAAGGGTTGTGTTGGACTGCAGCACCTCAAGCAGCACCCGCAGGAATTCCCCCGTAAGGAAGTTGCAGTCCAGGTTAAGAAACCGTAGATGTGTGTTCTCGCTAAGTGCACGTAGGATCGGCTCTACGTCGCTATCGTACAGGCCATTATGAAAGAGCGAAAGCTCACGAAGCGGGGGGTTCTTGGCGAGAAATTCGGCAATTTTTTTGCATCCCGCAGGCCCCATGTGGTTGCCGGCGAGATTCAGCGACTGCAGATTCGGTGGTGTGCCGGGACCACCAACAAGTGCCTCAGCCGAACGGGCACTAAGGGCGTTGTAGCCAACGTCAAGTGAGCGCAGTGCGGTGCTGGCGGCAAGTGATTGCAACACCTCAGGATGCCCTAAGAGAAATCCGTCATCGCCGAGGTAATGATTGGGAATATGAATCGCTTCCACAGGGACATGAGCCGCTGCCTTATCCGTCGTCTCATCCAATCTCTCCCCCTCTTTTTCCTTTTCCTCTCCTTCCGGGTATTGGTCTTTCATTTCATCTACACAACCTTCATCTGTTTCCGGCGGAAGCGCCTTCTGTAAATTCGCTAACAGTGCAATCAACTCCTCACGATTGGTGCAAATGAACACGCGCTCATCACTAACCTTCCCGAGCAACTCCCGACTCTGCCCAACTCCCATTTCCTCCCTTTCCGTTCCAGTGGTATTAGTGGTGGTGGTGAATAATGGACTTTATACACTCCTAAATACTTATTTTAATGAATTATGCAACACAGTTATACTTTTGAGGAAGTGCCGCTGTGACGTGAGGCAAAATACACATACACACACACACATACATACATACATATATACAGAGAAAGAAAGAAAGGTAACAAATAAACAAAATCCAGTCAAATAATAATAATGACACATTTACATTACAAAGTTACAATGTAAAGGCATATTTATAGAGCGTGTTTGTGTGTGCATGTAGAAACGGTCTTCCGTTCTCCCCCCCTCCCTCTCTCCCTCTCTCTTTCTCCGTATATATATATACACTTTTTTCCTGTGTTTCTTGGATCTAATTTACATTCTTCATTCATTAAAGCGGAAATAAAAAGTGTCATACTTACATTGGTTCCATCTTCCCTTCTTCCTGTGTGTATCCCATCCCTAACGACGCCGATTCCGTCATCAAAGAATTAAGAGCAATCCGCGTCAAAAAGAACCAAAAAATAAAATAAATAAATAAACACAGGTCTTCTGAGGGTTAAATATGGAAGTGGCAATTATCCAATTAATAATGTCTTTATTTGGAACATACTTGCATCCATTGCATCAGAGCCTTACTGGCCTTCAAATGACCCAACTCTGCGGCGAGCAACATTGGCGTCCGACCCATATCATCAGGCACATTCAAGTATTCCCAGGGAGTGTTGATCCACTTATTGCAGCGAGCGACCCCACTAAGTGGGTTCACGCCGTGACGGTGTGGGTATTGTTGCGACGGCATTTGAATGTCGCCTTGTTCATGATGATTTTTAAAATGTGGGCCTTGCTGCAGAATACGATCGGTAATGGGGAACAGGCGATCATCATCCATTGCACATGTGCTGCCCTTAAGAGTGCATGGCAGCCATACACCAACGCTTTGTACAAGTGCCGTGATACTGGCCGCGTCGTTGGCCAACACGGCGTAGTGAAGCGGAAGACACCCACGTGAGTCCAGCTGAAATGCACAGCTCCCATCATCGCACTTAAGCAGCTCAAAAACCGCCGCGGCGTAACCGGCGCTACAGGCGTCGTGAAGAGGAAGCCGACCGTCGCCGTCCAACTGTAGCACCAGCGTAGGCGCAATCGAACACCCCAAAATTTCTTGGATAATGGGCAGCAGCACGGCCTGCTTTGATGCCTCGTTGTGTGCGCAGAGATAATGCAGCGTCGTACGCACTCGACCATCTGTAAGTAGCAAGTGTTGTGGTTTTAACAGTTGTATTTTCTGCCCCTCAGATTCAATATTCCCACTGAAACTTTCCCCAACCTCCGCCGTCGTGGAACCAGGCACTAATATAGGGGTAGTGGAATGTCTTCCTCGGAGGTCCGTACCGCCAATGGGGTTGATATTGCTGTTGCTGTTGTTGGCGGCAACGCCAAGGATGGAGTTATCATTCAAATCGGAGGACAGTGAAGTGTTCCCAACTGTAGGTTGTTGTTGCTTCTGCCGACCGCGACGTACTGATGACTGTGTGGTTGGAGCCTGTTTCTGCTGTTGTCGGCCATTGCGGCGATTCGACGGCGACGACGCGTTCGGGCGAGAACGTGAACTATGACGCATGCGTTCCCGTTGCGCTCCTTTCGCCCCATGAAAGAGCAATGGTCTCCCGGAGCTAAACTCCTCTTGTTGATGCAAAAGAAGATCTAACATGCCCGCATCCCCACGACGAGCGGCAATAAGAATAGGGGTTTCTAATGTGCATCCACTCCGTGCCTCCGGTGTCGCACCAAAGCGCAGTAACTCACGTACCATTTCACATGCCTGCGGAAGATTTGATTGAGTTGCAAGATGCAACGTGGTTTGCTCCAAGTTATCCAACTCATTTGGATCGGCATAGTTTTCCAGCAGAAGCAGCAGAATATCCATCGTTCCATCCACCACCGCACGATGGAGAAGAGAACCGCCTGTAGGCAGACCGCTGGGACGTCGCGCAGAGGCGTACCCCAATGTGAGTAGTAGGCGGGCGATTTCTGCATCACGTGTAACGTAAACCGCCATTTCAAGTGCTGTTTGACTGGCCAACCTGTCCTCCGCCTCCACATCTATCACCGTGGCATGATCAGGGACATTTACTTCATTTATCGATGGCTGTCGGGCCTTTCGCTTTGTAATGACGGATTTCTTCCTTGTGGATACAGCCGATACCGTACTTTGTGTCTCCGTCGCGACCGTCTCGCCGTACCGCAAAAGAAGCTCCACGACGTTTGCCTCACCTGCCAAAACAGCGAGATGAAGTGGTGTTCGCCCCGCGTAATCCATCCTTCCGGCAATCAACGACGAAGATGATTTCAGTAACGCACGTACAACCCCGCTGTTGCCACATGCCGCAGCATAATGCAGCGGCGTACGCCCAAGACAGTCTTGTGCATTGATATCAAAGTTTGCATGTCCTGGAATCACAAGTGGGGATAAAAATAATTCCATTACACTTGGATTTCGCGCAATGGCGGCGTAATGTAATGCACATGCCCCTTTTGCATCTCGAACCATAGGATCCGCATGGAACTCAACGACAAGCCGACGAATCAATTCCGGATGATATGCCACAATGGCATGCATTAACGGAGTCAGGTGTGTAACAAATTGCATGCCGGGTACGGTCATATCCTTCTCGTTCATCTGGCCCTCCGCATGGATTTCCATCGCACTCATCCCCGCCAAGCTGTTATTGAAACGCACGTTGGTCGAGCTTCCACTTTGCTCCGATGGCAACTGACTGCTGCTAGATGAGGGATTTAAATACAGTTGCCTTCCCACCCCAGACCCCTTGCAACGGTTATTCACTGAACGTTCCTCCAGCCTCTCTTCTTCCTCTTCCGGTGCATCGCCGTGTACATCCGCACCACGGTCACACAAATTCTGTATCATCGTCCATGTGCTGCAGTTTGATGCAAAGTACCACCATGCGTCAGCTTCATGTGTCATGCGTGGGAAGTCCATATCCATCCCAATTCCAGCGCTCGTTGAACTCGCTGACCTTACCTGCTTGATGGGCGGCGCAGCAATTGGGGGCATGGGTGTTAAAATATAATTCAGCAATGCCGGTGTTGGTAGCGCCGCCAGTTTCGCGGCATCCGATGACCGTGGGGTCTCACGGATGGCATGCTCTCCATTGTTACCTTGCCCGTAACAAATGAGAGAGACAAGAGCGGTTTCACCCAGCGCATTTACCGCATCAATCGAGAGGCCACGTGCCAGCAACACATCAAGAATGGCAGGTTGCCCTGCTGCGTAGTGAATTAACGTGTAGCGGCCATCCAGTGATATCTGCCCAATCGCATCACCTGCATCCAGCAGGAGTTCCACAAGTTCCTTGTCACCCGTCGTGCAGGCACGTGCCAGTGCAGTCTGACTGCCGTTCACAAGACGATGAAACACGCCTGGCGCACCATAGTATAGAAGTAACTGCACCATTGTCGCGTCCCCACAACGTAGGGCGAGATCCATCGCCGTCCAGCCATTCACAGACGTACGGGCCTCAAAATCAATGACATTTCCAGTCAAGTGAAAAGCTGGATCCACAAAATTATTTGACGCTAGCAATGCAGCGGCATCTGTCGTCATGCGTGATAAACGTGCGCCGCGTTTTCCACTATTTCCTGAAGAGCTGCCCTGAGTCCCTCGCGTCGCGGATCCCTTGGCACCCGTACCAACCGTAAATGTCGACATCCCTGGTGTTATCGGTCGATCGGGACGTGGCAGACGCTTCTGTATCGATCCCGGCACAGGCCTCGGTTCACCCACCAGAATAAGCAAATCCAATAAAAATGCGGGTTGTCCTAACTGCACAAACAAG